TTTTTTTTTTTAAGGTGTAAAGAATGTATATATGTTTAATTTTTGCGTATATCAAACAAGTGAAAATTATTCATTTGGTTCACCTGAACAAAAAAATAATTAACAATAAATAAGCTGCTGCATTTTATAGATATTTCAGCCTGTTACAAAGAATTTTCTTTCACGTTTTCTATGGGAATCATTTCGAAAGCAACTACTTAACTTTTTCCCTTTAACGACTGGTCAGAAACTTTGTACAGAACATTCTTTTGCAACAATTACTTTCTAGTTGTGTCATTTTTTTAAAATGTGAAAATAGATAGATTTTGTGTTAAAACACAGCACTGATATTTCTGGTTTGAAGTTACGTTTACATAATCCAAATTACTGTGTTTATCTTATACTGCAGAGGCTGCGTTATTTATGCTTTAAAGTAAGCAAATTCCACCAGCGAAATGTTCTTTTTTAATGTAAAAGTAATAGCTAGTACAGAATTAATGTTTTTGGTTTCAACTTACATCTGTTAAATTTTAATTTTGTATCGTATACACTGCTTATTTTTTTTTATTACACATCTAAATTTTATATTGTACATGCTACGCTTCTTTTTTTTTTCCACCAAGAATGATGAAATTTTTGCTACAAATTTACAAAAACATGTATACTAAATTAGTATACTCGATGTATTGATACTTCTTACTTAAAGTATTTCTTACATTCACTGAACCTGAATTACTTATACATTTTGTATTTGTAGACCTAACAATTTGTTCTTTGTTTAAAAGAACGAAAATCTCTATTATCGCAAGCAAAAGCAGAGGAAATAAAATTTATATCGATAACAATGTGTTTTTCTTTCTTCTTTCGTGTTGTGTGTTTAATGTAAAAAAGAAATAGTCCTCCCGAGTATTATATATTCCTTGCGGACATTTATTATTTACCATGTACCATTATTTGTTCTTCGAGCATCCGCCGCTCATAAATTTCATTTTTTTTTTTTTTTTTCTCGCGAGAAAGAAAGGTTGCAAATGGAAGAAAAATGGAATTTCTCTCACCGTGTGTTGCTTTCTTCTGTTAAAAATGTGTTTGAAAATCCAACGAGGAGCACATTCTTTCTGTGTAATATTTAATCTTGCTCTTTTCTTTTTTCTTTTGTTTGTCTCTCCTTGCAGAATCGAAAATTATCACGAGTATTCTATCGATCAGAAACAGATTCCAAACTCCAAGAACGTATGCGAAGCTTGTGTAAAAATTTATCCTTCCATTTGTGGAATTCACTTTCTTGATTATTCGTTTAATTGAAGATTGAACAATTGCACAACTGTTGTCTCACATTTTATTGAATTACCAATAGTCAGTATAGGAATCAACGTAAATATAATTTTACCACTTCTATTTCTCGTTAATGTGGAATCTTAATTTTTATTACGTGCAATTTGCATTTCGTCAATTCTTCAGTTTAAACTAAACTGGAGTTCAAAATTCAATCTGTCTCTCCTCTCGAGTCGAAATCGTCGTGGTGTAGCCGCAAGCTTAAAAATGTAAGAAGAAAAAAATCCATTGGGAAAGAGTTTTTCTGCGCTTACACGGTAATTTCACGGATAATAAAACGTCATTAAGAAGGCATCAAGATAGTCTGCAAGTCACTCGAGGGTTTGACGATCGTCGAGATTGCGTAACCGGTGCTCGAGCATCAGCTAAAAGTCACAGAAGTTGGAGAAGATTTATGATACACTGTTACTGAAGATCGTTCGATGGCTATAAAAAGTTGCCTGGTTCGTGATATTGTCATCGAAAGTTAATGGAAGGCCATCAGAAACGCGATATTTACCCCGGGCATCATTTGAGAATCATAAAAGATTGCCAAAGTTGCGACGTTATCATCCACTGGCATTGGCCATTCACTATAACTAAATATACCACTGATGTTACCCTTATCTACATCATCCTACTATCACTCTATTATTATTATCTTGATTATACGGCACGGTGGTTAATCCACGCTTCCTCGAAATAAATGTGAAAGCTGATACCGAGGATATCTAAGAGGCTCATCGAGCCAGTTTATCATTTAATAAGAAGCTGCTCGCGAGCTCGTTTAATCAAGCTCCCAAGTTCATGCAACGAGAACTGTCAATAGAATTTCCCTCGCAATATACAGCGGCGTTTTAAGAGACGTAACCGTTGACACTCGGGCACGGTATCAAGATTGTACTCTTTAGAATATAAATAGACGTGATTCGTGTACACAGTGTGTGCTCGTGTGCATAGCACATCGTACAATAGAGGCGTTCGATACTATGCAGAATCGCGAGTGATTCGCAAACAGCCATCGTATTCTGCATTACGCCGCGGTAGAATGCCTCCGACTCGGTGAATAATTCGACAACCATTCCGAGGTGAGCAACATTATGACGACATTGGGCAGACGATCTTTAATATTCCAGTAGGATAACGTAACCGGAAATACTGAGAATTGTGATCGGCAGCTTGCTATCTGACGTGAATAATGTGAATACAGTTTTGCAACATGATGTTGTCGTCACGATCTTCAATGACTGTTCATTGTCAAATTGTTGATGTTTATGTGACCTCGTCAATTCTGTTGAATGAAAATTTTGCACGTCGTAATTATAACATGAAATTAATTAGAAATATCCTGCAAACGTCCCGTTTTCTGTGAGCTGCAATTAAAATATCGAATGATGACGGTTTTGCACGACATAATTGTTATAAACGTGAAATTAATTGGAAGTTTCTACGACAATAACTCAATAAATAACTCTTTGCACGTCAAAGTCCTACAA